CTATCATATAAAGGCAAAAAGCCCCAAAAACATAATGACATAATGTATCACTGGTGATGTAGCTAACACTGGATAAAATGGCCTGTCTAACATTACCTCAGCACTAATTCACATCATTTATTGATTGCTTCTTATACTATGTTTTTCACTTGGGTGAGGATGACTGTGTCACACATATATATATTCACAGATAATAACGACTAACTTTGTGAATCAGCTGGACTCACAGGATCACGATGAATTGATCTTGCCAGGTTTCAATCTATGTGGTTAGTGTAGATGCTTTAGGAGATTCTTGATGGAAAATAGGTTTTTGCTCTTCTCCCGAATGACTTCGGTAAGAGTTTGACTACATTACATGGTTCGTTGATCTAATTAGTTGAAGTTTGCCCGTGATGGAGAGACGGTTCATCCAATCATCTGCCAAGTATTCTGTGCCTGCCCTTTTCCAAACTGTTTCCAACGACAACTTCCCAGATGGTTACAAACCATCTGGCACAGTCAGGTTAAATCTTCTTCTAGTCCTCCATCTTGGAGGAAGACTAGAGGCCGCATATCTTAACACAAAGCTATCCTCAGGAGAAACTTTACCATCAAGCGGAGTTCAACAGACACTGAAATGTACTTTCGCCCCGGCATTTTGTCATAAGTAACTTACTCAAAACATATGCTTGGAAAGATTGGACGTGCATATTGGAAGCCAAACTTGATCTCATTTTGAAATCTATCAAATCTAAAAGAAAGAAAGATCTAAATAAAGCCAATGAATGCTTAATTGGATTAATATGCCCTGCTCTCAATGCACCAGCAATTTGCTGAGAGATATAATCACAACGCAGCGTTGATAGAGTTCGTTGAGGGCTTGCAGTTAGCTAGAGTAATCAGTGAGTAATCAGGTAGCTGATTCACTGTTGCCAAGCAATTATCGATAAGAAAAGGTGCTTTGTCTTGAGCACAGCTCTCACTCTCTGTCCTCTCTATCACCACTCACGCACTCACACAATAAAAACGTTATCTAGGCATGGAACTTCCTATCTGCTGCACAGCATGATCCCATTAGCTGGGCTGAGTGTGTCTACGTTCGCTGCTGAAGGACTGATAGGAAAGTGTTAATATCTTCTCTGTTTGAGCTCCGTTTTTGTCAGTGGCCGAGGTTTGTTTAGCGTGAAAGTCTGATGAAAACAGTGTTTGAGCTGCAAGCAGGTCGCTTCTTATGTACTTATCTCTGTTCTACTGGCTATACAGTTAGAAATTCCAGCTTCTATTTTTCATTGTTGCCACGTTCAAAACACAATTGCAATGGTGATACGTACATTTTAAGACTGAAGCTGCACAGAACCATTGTTTGGTGACAATAGTCAGTGTGTTAAAATTTAACCATTTTCTTACCAAAGAAATACTAAACTCAAAAGCACTTTTAAAAAGCCTGCCAAAGCTCTCTCCATGTTACAAAGTGATTCGCTCTATCTCCAGATTGTTTCAGTTTGGAGGACAGTAGTGAGGGAGCATTGTTTTAGATAAGGCTTGTTCTGAAACTAGGGGGCATACATTTGTTAGCAGCCATTCTCTTCGCCTTTCAAGCAAACTAACATGAATTCAAAATCCCCTGCTGTTTGGTAGGCAGGTAGAATCATCATTTATGCAGTTATTTGACTCTAGAAGTGTCCATGAAGTTATTTCTTTTACGTGTAAATCATTATTTGCAGAAAGCTGTTATGTACAGTATTACATATATTACCGATATATGGCTGTATGTGGCCTTCATGAACATGAACCACTAGCAGATACATTCCTGTTATTTGCAAACATTGATAATCTGACCTCAGCCTGACTAGGGGGCTACAGAAATCAAACAGACAGGCCACAGACACTATAGGGAGTTAATGAGGCCCAAAAGTAGAATTGATAGAAAGAGCGAGACTCTAATCAGAGCTGCAGGCGATGGACCATCTATTGACTCAGCCCTGTCCATCAATCCCAGCGGCAGCATACTGCGGACTTTTCAAGGATCCACGGTCAGAAGTAAAGCCCTGGCTGTGTCAGGGGCCACACAATTTCACAGCACTCGGGAAGCAGAGCATACTTCTCCGCATTCAGAAGCACTGCACAGTGATGTGAGCAGGATGTAATAAAAGAAAACAATGCAGGAAAACACTCCTCTCCTGTTATGGCCCCTTACTTCTCAATGATGGAACTAAAACCGGAGGCTCAGGGTGAATAGTTTTGACCATATGGTATCAATTCAATTCAATGAGAATGTCAAAGTAGCTCGCTAAATGGGGCTCAAACTGTAGTATGTATGGTAGCAGGGTTACAGGTATCAAATATAGAGAAGTTGAGGTGAGAAGAAGGATCTAATATATCTAATAATATCTAAGAGGATCTAATGTTCTCTATAACAGTAGGAAGTGTTGTAGTCCGAGTATTACTGACTGATTCCATTAGGATGGGCTTTGGTTGCATGCAAGTAAACTGTCCGTGTGGATAGCAAAATGCGAAATGCAAGTTCGGAACTAATCGGCTATCATCTGACGATTTTGTTTTGAATAAAACTGTTCAGATGCAGATATCTGTTTATAGAGATTGAAATGTGTCCTCTCCTCATTCCCACATATTAAGTTGCTAATCAGACTGCAGAGGAAGCCTTGTCCCAGATATTCATTGTCTGTTTTCCGCAGATCGGCTGGCTACCCGAAACACTGACAGTGTTCCACTCTGGTATCCTGTTGACTCAATGCTCCTTATAACTCATGATCATGCACCTGTTAGTCTAGACTGTCTAATAATGGCACTCAGTCATGTGAGACATCACATCTTTCGTTTTTTCTTTCTTTTGCTGAGATTAAGTATCTTGTAGTAAAACATTGTGCTGTTTTGTCACAAATAAAATAGGGAAAAGTGACAATTTAATATTCCATTGAACCAGCACAGGTGATCTTTAAAATTTAAATGAATATCATAAAAGATCTTGAATTTATAAAGGTAAGACAAATGCAGCCATTAGACCACACTTTGCATTTGTTTACCATTAAGATTACAGGCTCTGTCAGCATTGCCATGATTGCTCTGGCTGCCTCTGGGAGTGTCTTTTAAATGTCCCTTTTGATTATAAAGATTTCTAAATAAAGTGGCTCGCTGGTAGTCAGGATAAAATCTGCTGGAAATGCTGAGAAGAGGAGCTTCAGGGAAGGAAGGAAATATTGCCATCCCACAAACTGCTTGCTCCTGCAACCGAAGACTCTGTGTGGCCTCTCCCAACTGACTGATTCCTATCAGTGCTGTGGATTTTTCATACAGAGATTTGCTAGGTTTGATGATAATGCATATGTTTGTGTAAAAAGGATATATAGTACACCTCCTCTTTCCCTGGAAGGAATTCAGGAGTTAGCACTGGATTATGGAAATATTACATTCAAATCCCTGTTAGATGAGATTGTATTAGTCAACATTTTTATTCATGTTGGCAAAATCAATTCATAAACCAACGCCTACTATAGACTGCTCAATTTTAGCATTTTCTGGCTATTTTCTGTGTTTAGTTGATTGTAGTTTCATTCCTTGTGTATGACATCTTTCTCTCCTGGCCAGATGAGCCAGACTGAAGGAGTAAACACTTCAGATTATCAGTAAACTATTCCAAACACGCCTGTTTGTTGTTTACCATATTTTCTCCCATGTGTTTTCCCGCAGATGCGCCAAAGATCCTGGGTCCAGTGACGGTGTACACGTGGGAGGGAAACCCAGCCAACATCAGCTGTGAGGTGGAGGCTCACCCTGGAGCCTCAGTGGTTTGGTTCAGAGACGGCCTCCAGCTGCCCTCTGCCAACACCACCAACATGAAGATGTACAACACACCAACCATCAGCTACCTGGAGGTCTGCTGCACCTTGCTGAGTTCATAGAACATTTTCCAATAAACTAAGAGCTCAGATTTTGGCAGGGAATGTCAGCCTTCAGATATTATTAGATTTTGTGTCTTCAACAGCTGTAATTACTTAACAGATAAAGATCAACTATTAGAAGCAATTCTAAATATGTTTTTTCCACTTTTATGTCAGAAGATTTGACCCGCTGATTCTTAAACGAATATTTATAGAGGCTTTTTTTGTATATCTTAAATCAAGAAGAAAACAATGTAGTGGTAATTTAAAAAGGAATTTCTATTTGTTATTCATAGACTGAAACAGGAAAAAACACTTCCACTGAGATAAGTGTGTCTTGAATAACGAACAGCTAACAAGTAGTTCAGAGCATCTCTGAATCAAGAATAATAATAGTAGACACGTTATTGAGAAGTGCTGGATATTACGTTAATGAACCAGTGTGTAATGATAAGTTCCTACGGTAGATATCTGTGCATCCGCCTGCAGACCATTCTCCAAATGATCAGCCATGAATAAACTGATGAATGGCACAAAAGCAATGGCTAATGATGTGCATATTTAAGTTTTCCACAGGTATATTTGGTTGCTATGATATTTATTTTGTTCACCTGCCAGCTGGACAAGCTGCAGTGCCTCGCCACATGACCTGGTGTTTCTCAGTGTTTTTGTCTTTTTCCATCTCTCAGATTACCCCTGATTCACAGAATGACTTTGGGAGCTACAACTGCACAGCAACCAATGTGATGGGAACTGAGTCCAAGGAGTTCCTTCTTATCCAAGCAGGTTTGTTTACCGAAAATTAGGCATGGCATTGAACTGAATGTGTGTAGCATTTAGGCAAAGGTTTAAAGAAAAAGGGTAAATCATTTAATATCCCATGTGTTGGGGTTTGATGACTTTACAGGCCAGTGTTGGATGTGGTGACTTTGCTCATAAATAATATATGATAAATGAACAACCTACACTTTCCCACTTCAGTATTTACCAACCAGAGTCGTACTACCCAGTCCAACAACCCACAACAAAATGATTGTTCCAAGTTTAAGATCTGCCGTTGTTGGCGAAAATATTAAAAAGCCTTGGTTAAATATTGTTTGATTTATGTCAGTTGTGACAGTAAAATTTCATATTTGATACATATGTTTGGCCGGAGATTGCTCTGGGCATGTTTTAATAATTGTAGTGTTTAGGGTCATTGGAACGCAAGAAATCTTTTGGACACAACTTGCTCTTATAGTTGCCAACTTTATATTTACACAATTTGTTAAAATACTTTGTAATATGACCTTGTTTATACAACATAGAATTGGTTTATGGAATCTGAAAGCTGAACCTTATATTTTCAAAACAGAACATTAGATCATTCATATCTCTACTTTATTCTATTTAAATAGAAAATCTTTCATTGTTACTTTTTGTAAGTCTGCCACGTGTCAACCCGATGAGAGGGTTCATCAGGTTTTGATCCCCTGTGTGGGAACATAGCTCCAAGGCCCTTTAGAAGTTATACATGACAGTTTAAAGTACATTCTAAAGGCAATCAGTAGTTAGTGTAGAGAGCAAGGATATGTGAAATATGCATATGAAATCCCAGCAGCAGAACTTTGAAAAAGCTGCAGACAGCACAGTCATCTTTTACTAATGCCTGTAAACTTGGCATTACAGTACTCAAGAGGAGAGGTGATACATTTATGAATCATAGTGTCTGTGTCTTTAGAGAATCAAGATTTTTAGGGTTCAACATCAGGATACCAGCAGTGGTAAGGGAGATAATGAACAAAATGTACTTTAAATCTGTATTTTTACCCCATCAAGAGCCATGATTACAATTTCTGTTTTGTATTCATAGTAACTGGGGTTCAAAGTGACACTTCAGAAAGGTGTTAATTTCCTTGAGACAATTAACAGGGTCGAAATTCAGCTTAAAACAGATATTATGTTTATGTACGAGACATCCAAAAGGCACAAAATAAAGTCCTGTTTTCTTTTTGCACTTTTTGATTTGTGTTAGCTTCGTTTGGTATACAAATTGTTTTGGACCCATTACAGGAGGTAGGTCACTCAGGACCTTGCCAAAATAAAGCGTAGTCAAATTAATTGCGCTAACAACCTCTGCTGCCACTGTGTACTATACTGTATGCCCTTTGAGGTGTTTTCTCGCTCCTTTTTTCATTTGCTGCATAACTCATCAGTATGCCTAAAGCAACTCCATCCAACCACAGTTGGACTAAAAGGGTACCACAAAGAACCCTTCAAATATCTCTTCACACCCTATTTTCCACATTCATATGTCAATGAGAAAATCAGACATGTAGCATGAGGCTTCGCTAAACAATTTGGAGTGTAATTAAACAGCCTCTGAATTACTAATTTACATACTGTTTAGCATTCAGAAGGAGGTTCATTTTCAGTGGCGTGTCTGTTTGCATGGCTCTAGGAAGTTTGTTGACATACTCAGATGTATTGATTATTACTTGATTCCTTCCCCTTTAAACACAAAAATGAACATCCAGGGTTGCTTTGCAATTACCATTATAATTAAATGTTTTGTCTCTTCATCAGATTCATTTTCTAGTGTATAAGTGGAAGTTTTAGTTTGATAGAGGCACCAGATGAAAGGTCAGGGAGTCACTCAATTAATTATCTCCAGGAAACCCTGAATATACTGCATCAGATTATGAACAGTAATTGTAAAAAATAAAATAAAATAAAAAACTCTAGACTGAAATTTAATGAATAGACATACCACCCACCTGACATACTGATTACCATCATTAGGCCCAGTCCTGAAAGATAAAAAACAGCATAATAGTGTCTTCAGAAGACTAAGAAATTGTGTAGGGTGCTCCATTTCTGTGACACCCTAGCCTATCTTACTGAATCAAACTGCAGCTCAGGCCAGAGGTAAAGCTGTCGCTGCAGACTCATTCAGGCATGTCCAACAGATCTTCAGTAATTTGGTGACCAGAGGAACGCCAGCACCACAGTGGTGAAAGGGGCTGATTGGGAGCAGGGAGTTATCAGTTGGTGCTGCAGTGGCAGGAATCTATCTGAGCCAACCACATCAGCTCCTCTAATGCTGTTAAATGCAATCCTCTCACTGCCAAAGCACATACACAGTTTAGTAAGGCACACATATATCAGCCCAGTCTCACTCCCAACTCGTCAAATACTGCTGCTTGGTCAGTGGCCGTCTGCTTCAAATGATGACACTGTCTGTGCCCCTTAGCATTTAACAACAGGACTTTCACCCAGGAGACAGCAGCGTGTGTCCTGTGACCAAAAGTCAACATTGGCTTATTTTAAGTTACGTACTTAATCTACTTAAGGTATGTAGCATAACTTTTGTGCCTAAACCTAACCAAAGTACAACCGTTTGACATCAATCACACAAGCTATATTTTGTGTAACAAGTCTAACCTGATGTTGCATATTGCTATCTTCATGGCGGAGCACTGCGTGTACAGAAATGCATCATATTTTGAAGCAGAGGGCCACTGACAAAGCGGTCGTATTTGACGAGTTGGAATTGAGAATGTGTTGCATACACAGTCCTGCAACCCTACAACCAGATACCTATATACACTATTACCTATTGATCACTAGTTCATCATGAAATGTTCAAATAAAAATTATTGGCCATAAGCAAACAAGTATTTTTGATTTACTCAGGAAATGCCATTCAAACTATCAGTAAGTAGAACTGTGTTTTTATTTATGCACTTACCTTATAACTGAAAAAAGCTATGCAGATGCCTTCTAAATGATGACCAAGTGTGTCACACAACTCACGGTGGTGAGTGTGATAGTTATCTTGAGTAGTAAATTACATCCTGTGTGCCTTAAGCGCAGCCACTACTTTTATAGAACGTTTTCACAGTGATAGTTATACGAAGAGACAAACGAGATGCAAAGACACCATGAAATATGAAACTATTACAAGATAATGTTGCTGCTGCCAGGTCCAAGTTAACCAATAATGTTTAAAGTATGTTATAAATCCTGTTTACAGGGCATTTACAGTACATATTGTGCCTTTGTGCCAAATATAATCAAGGACATTGTCATTGTCAAGACATTGGTGAGCAGTAACCATTGTGTACTGTGTATACTGGGAGTCAGATGAAGTTTGTGAATCATTATATGTTGTGTATTTTATGGTATTCTTTGTATAAACGCTAGCTTTTAGAAAGAGCTTTTCAAAAGAAAAAAACATTTATATATATATTTCTTGTCTGTTGCAGAGGTGCCCTCATCGCCAGAAATCGAACAAGTGGAACCTTTCTCCAGCACAGCAGTGGTAGAGTTTGACGAGCCCGACTCCGTAGGTGGAGTGCCCATTATCAAGTACAGAGTGCAATGGCGTTTGCTTGGCCAGGAATGGACTGGCAAGGAGTACAATGCTGAGGACGGTGAGTCACCCATCCCTCCTAATCAGAGTTCACGTGATGACTGTTATGTGCCTCTCCTTCGCACACACATATCTGTAAAAATCTGTACAATGTCAATATATTTCCAAACTTCATTACAGAGGGGAAATCTAATTTTGGGGCTTTTTTTAACATCATATTTTGACAGCTGATCAAGAACACCTGCTGTGACATAGATTTCAGCTTGATGTAATTCAGTGATGAATTAATCTCTGAGTCACTACCACTTACCTACAGTTCCCCTGAATGCCATAGAAAATCTACTTTTAAAGAATCAAAGGGGAAGCAAGGGATGTTATTAAATTCTTTCTTCAAGCTCAGGGTTTTCTGCTCTTCTTAAGATGCATCACTAAGCTACACCTTTGTCCTCTTAAACCATTTTTATTCTTAGCACCCAAGTGACGCAAAGAATATAAATTGTTCTACTCATTCTCCAGTGTCTGACAAATAACATCCATAAATCAGTTTAAAAATAATGTAAAAAGGTGCCAATTAAAACTTTAAAGCTTGCCTCTTAAGTATAAGAAGGTAATTTACTCTCTGTAATGCTGACAACGCATAGAGAGACTGAGAAATTACCTTCTGTTTTGCAGCATTCACAAAATTATATTATTTATATAATATGTAGTGCAACATCAGACCAAAAAAAAAAACACAGGGCTCAGGTGTAAGGCAGCATTAGCTACACTTCCTGTTTTCATTACCCAAAGCACAATGGGAACCATAGTGCCAAAACCCAAATGGAGGTCAACAGAGAGAACAATACAACTGACAAAATCCATGAAAGTTTGCTTTGTTCCCGTTACACATCAGTACATTTTTGAGTGGAAGTAGACCATGTTTTGCTTTATCATTATGAAGCATGTTGATTGCACAGTGTAATGACTATAGAATGATGCCACCATTGCATTTAGATTACTATGCAGTTCTGTCTGCCACTGGGCACGATTTTTGCCGAAAAAATTATGTCTCCATTATAGACTAAATGAATGAACAAACTCACACTTTGTGTTTTATTCTAACGTTAACTTTACTCCCCCCTCCACCTCAATGCCAGTCCCTGGGGTAGTGACTTGTTTGTGAGAATCTTATTGCTATGCAATGCATCATTACAGTAGCTTTTACTTGTACCCAATTTCAATATGCATTTTTTAAATTCAATTTCAATACAATTTCAATTTACTTCTTTGGTGGTTTAGTGATATCTCCAAAGTGGTGCAGAAAAATACCACGTAGAAATGCTAGGAGGAGATATTCCTGGGACATTGACACCTACTCTATCAACTCAAAGAGAAATTAGCTGTGTGTTGAAAACTTGAGAACATACCTACTACTTCTTCTTCTTCTTCTTCTGATTATTATTATTATTATTATTGTTGTTGTTGTTGTTATTTTAGGGTCCATCTATTTAGAGCGCATCTCCTACATGAAGGAAATTCGGGCCAAAGCTGCAGAAAACATTTCAGCCAGCAATAACAGTTAATCCAAACGTGACAGCAGCTGATGTCAGGAGGAGAGGTGGAACACAGTGTAGCCTAAATGACAGTCGGCTCAGACATTGACAGGCCCCAGATAATATCCCCGTCCCACTGAGGGCTTGTGGCTCTTACAAATCTGGATGGTTCTCGTCCTGTCTGCCACATGGGACATATCAGTCAGCGGCTGACAGGCTCCGCTGTCAGCTCAAGGCCCAAGAGCCGCCTGTCATGCAAGTGTATACACAAAACAAAACACATGCACCCACGCACTGACAGTAAACGTTACCAAAAATATCTCATTCAACCACCTCAGCTCCTCCAAATCTCCAAAACTCACATACACTGAATGGACCCTGTCTGATGCACTGTATAGTGAATACATTAGTTATTATATTGATATATTTGTAGCATTAATTTGTCAGGAATACCAATGTTCTAGTTATTTAAGCTACAACATGCCAGGGGGGAAAAGTAGCCTATGGTGTTACTGATACAGAATTTTCAAGTGGCCATTGAGTTTAAAGTGTCTCTCACAATATTGTGAACCAGGGCTGCCATCACATGTTTGAAAGCAGTACTGCCAGATATAGATACCACACCCATCACTGTGGTCCGTAAACAGATACCTACATCTGCAGCGTGCACATGCATGAAGCTACAAGTCAAGAGTTAAAGTACACCTGCTATGCTTTTTTCTGTACCCTGTAAACCTCTCTGTTAACAGTCTATCAACACATATATATGTGCCTCCATCACATATGTTCTGTAGAAAACATAAATACACTGTAGCTACATTTATGAGGCAAGTAGACTAAAAATACCCATCTTTGATTTTCCATAAGAACAGCAGGCTTGTTGTTTCCATATGGCGTGTGTGCACAGGAGGAAATAAATTGCTATTTTGTAATTTGTGTAACTTTCACCATTTTTGTTGGTCACAGGCTTAAAGGATCAGGCTGGCATTATGCTATATTTGTCTTATCGTCAACAAATCCCATGAAAAAACCAAAACCAACAATGTGTTAGTCCGACTTTCAATACTTCTCTACCCAGCCTCTGGCACTAAGCCCCAAGCCCATTCATTGTTACTGAAAATGTAAATCTTTAGAAAAACAGGTCATAAATACATGGTTTTATTTTTTTAACTGGCAAAATGATTTCCTCAAAAAGCTAGACACAGTAGCTTTTAGCAAACGTTATACAAACAGGGTAAAATAAATAGTGCATTTTGTTGGGGACTATTTTAGACAGCAGGAAGGTGTGCGTGGGGTTGACTCAAAATAAATTACAGTCGCTGGGTTCATGGTAATGAAGCAACATATCACTGGTTGGCTCACTGATGTGATCATAATAGTTTTTGGACAACAGTTGAGCTCTGTGGCAGACAGGAATACGTTATCAGGCTTTGCTTAAACATACAATACCCATCATTGTTGGTTTTGGTCTTTTGTTGACCAAAATTAAATCAAAATAGGAATATTTCTAACCTTGACATTTAATTGTTGCATGTTGTGTTGAAACTCACACAGAAATACAGAAGGCAAAAATGTTTCCTTTATCATTTTGAGAAATTAACAGAGCCAGTAGACATTTCTAAATTAAAAGCTTATGTTTGTATTGTAAATGCTGCATTTCCAAATACAACATGATTATTGTGTTGCACTTCCTAGAATTCTCCTTTGATATGACCCTTGCCTCCAAAAATACTCACAAGAACAGAAATGCTGCCTGGCACAAAGTAATGTAATTTTTTGGAGAACAGACGTATCTGTAAGCAAATTGTCTAAATTGAGCTCTATGTATTACTATTATTAGTGTACTGTTTTATAAGATTTTTGAAACATTGTGGTTTAATTTTTTTAATGTTTTTTTCAATGCTTTCAGCACCTGTTTGGTTACTGGCCAGGGCACTGTGTGTTTAATGTGAAAAAAGTTGCATATTGCAGTTTTAAGCCTGCAACCACAATTGTTTATGCTGTATGTTGCCTTAATACCTTCAATGATAAATTCCAGACCTCAGCACACAGTCCTTGATGCTGCAATAAGCATGCACTGTAGCAACACTATAATTAACACACACCAAAGTCAGTCGAGTTTGTAACGATTGTTATGATTTGTGGAGATAACCTTTTGGAGGAGCTGAGGAAACCGACATGTGGTAATCAGTGGTAAATTACTCCGGGCCGGCTGGAAATCTCATCTGAACATGAATGGTTTCAGCAGTGACATCAGTTTTACTGATGCTGGTGGTGCTAAAAGCCCAGTTGTGAATTAATTTGGTCCCATTCTTTTTAGCCGTATTCATACAGCCTCCCCAAGCAGTGGTTCATTCGGAAAGTCTCTCTCATTGAGACGTTAATGTGAAACACATTTAGAATTTTCTCTGTGTCACTGTAATCGAAAAATGTTTCTGAGCTGTTTTGCAGTGGGGCCTAAATTTGTTCTCATCCATGAAATTACTGTTCTTTGTATTACACAGTGAGATATCATTTTATGACAAAAGCCAAGAAACATGTGTGTATATGTGTGTGTATCCTTATTGAAATCTCGACAGTGTCTTGCTAATATGGAAATAATAGTGTCTGTCCAATTAAATATAGTACATTTTGATTCTGAAATTAGATTCTTGTCTATATATTGTGTTTGAAGAATGCTTCTTGGTGGGTAATTACGAGAAAAAATGAATTCACTTTACTCAAAATGACATTTGAGGATTATAATAGGAGGCTTTCCTAATAGCTTTCTTTCTGTACTATACGTGACACTTTTCGTGTTACAGTTCATCTTAAATCTTATTTTCCTAGAACCGGTAATCAAAAACCACAGAACCCCACTGAGTGTAGTACTTGCCCTTTTCTTGGCACTGATGCTGGTCGACTTTGCCCCTGAGCTCAATGGCTACCATTAAATCAAAGTATTGGATTGGTCTGCACAATCTTTGCTCCCACTGGTGATTGAGTCACCATGGATAATCCAGTTAGAAGTATATTTCAGCCTACCTGTAGGATCATGCTGCACATACAGTATGCTATAAACATAAACCGTTTCAGCCAGCAGACCCAATGGTAAAGACAAGTACTGCTCAATCCCAGGTTTTCAGGTGAAATCAACATGTACACATCAAAACGGTAGTTTGGGTCAAACTAGAGTGAGCATCTAGGAGCTTAGCAAAAAAGATGTATAAAGAAGTTATTTTGTTTATTTTTTTAAACTTATTTTAAATTTATTCAGTGAAAAGGACACAGGACAACAGGGAATACATGAGTAGTGTATACTGTAAAAACGATGATAGGAAATGTAAAAAGAGGAGGAAGAGAGAGCAAATAGGGAGCCAAACAAACAAACAAAAACAAAAGCAGGACAAATAAAAAGACACAACAAGGTAATTGCAGTGATATATTTTAGTAACCAAGGCAAGTACTTTCAGTATGTTCATATAAGTAAGTCATTTGAATTATTTGCTCATTCTGATTGTTCGTGAAAAATAAGGCTCTGGATCCTCATTTGCTTCCATAAAATGGATTTCACATGAAATAATTAATGAAAATATAATTTAAGATGACACAGAAGCAATAAAACAAAAATCAAAAAGAACCAAACACCACAAAACAAGTGAACTTATTTCACAAATGAAAAGAAAAAACAAAAACCCAAAAAATAATTAGTTCTTTGGCTAAATGCCGATCAGGTCTGTGTTTATATTTTTACTACTTTACTTTACTACTTTTTAACAAGACATTCACATTCTGCATGAATAACAGCCTACACAGTATACTATAATGGGCGTTTATGCATCTCACACACATTAGCATATAAAGAACCAAGAACATATATTGTTCTCTTATTCCCTGTTCAACATTCCTTGGTTCCCTGTGTACTTGTTTGGAATAACACCACCTCGCTTCCAACAGACTTGACCAAGATCATCATCACTGGCCTGAAGCCAGAGACCACCTACGAGGTCAAGATGTCCGCAATCAACGGCAAAGGTGAAGGCGAGAGCAGCCCGGCCAACACTTTCAAGACCGAGCCAGTCCGTAAGTACTGCCCTCGCCACTCGTGTCCCAGATCTCAGTAAGCGCTCCTCTGACCCCAATGCTTTGAACCTAATGCTGTTGCTTACTCCACTGCCTGCTAGTATCTAGCTGAGCCCAGATGCTTTCACCCCTACCCTCCTCTATTCTCACGCCAAACCCCAGTGCAGGTCTTTTTTCAGCCAGGCCAGAAGGACAATAATTCACGATGCCGCTGCCACTTCATAATCCAACTTGGTTAATAGTGTTGGTTAACTAAGCAAAGTATAACGTGTGTGTCCTTCATCACTGAAGAGTATTATGCGCCTCTTTCCCCCTGAATGTTTGCAGTGTGTAAGGGAGACTGTGCCTCCTTCCATTTCACAGAGCTCTGCATTTTTAGCCCACAACTCAGGTGATTTAGTGAAAGCTTTCTGGAAAGTACTTGTGCATTCTTAAGGCTGACTTGTTCAGTGTGGAGTGTCAGCTCTGTATTTATAGTTCAGTGACAGCGCGCATTCTTAATATAGCAGCCAGAGGTCAAGCCCTGCTGAAGATTGTTTATATTTTGTGAAGGAAATGGCAGCGCATGATGAAATCTTCTAGGGGGAGGAAATTTTCTATTTAACTGTGTTTGAAAGAAAGTATGACAGGAGAAAGAGTAACCTTAACAGAACACAAGTAGTGTACAAGTAGAATACCTCCATGTCAGGCAGATGAGGGAGGATTTGACCATGTCAGCCACCACAACACCCGCACCAGTTTGCTGGATGTTCTTCGCCCTCCATTTTCTCATAATTTAAGTTTTTCCTGGTGAATAATCTGGCGTCATATCACATCTGTTTTAGACATATGGCCTTGTTTGCAACCTTACAGCAAGGACCAGGTGCACAGCACCTGTCATCACCAATCAGAATGAGTCGGCTTGCCATAAAATGTGTCAACTTTGTGTTTATGTGCAATTATGTTAGATAATGCTTTCTTGTTGGAGTAGAAATTAGGCCCAATCATCTCTAAGATTTGATTCACATTCGTGTGGTAGGTGTTTAATATAATTACAAATAACTGCACATTCACATTGTAACATTAAGAAAAAAATCTGAAAATAGTTAGTATGATAATGGAACGTTACACAGTTCTTGTTCCATATGTTTGATGGCAGAAGTATGCTGTTTGTTCTTGAGCGGTTGTGAACAATCTCTATGTTTTATAAGGCAGTCATTAAATCCATTGTGGGTTGTCCACACAAAATGGCAATGTCATAGTATCAAACAGGTCATGATGAGTTTAGAAACTTGGATATTGAAGGATATTTCTGCTTTATTATTGCTCATTGTGCAGGAAATCTGTGCATGCACAACTACAAGGACAGTCAGTCAAAATTCAACCAGAATGTCGGTCCTTACACTGTAATGGATGTCTACAACGAACGGTCTGGGCAATCATTTTACAGTTTGCTTTTGTTTTCTGAATGTCTGACTTGTCTGACTGTGTTTCTGTCCCTGTCAGACTGTGTTCCAAATTTAATTGGTGATAGAAATGATTACCCATACAACTGAAATAAGACACACATTGTAACAAACCAGATTTATCCTTCTATCCGTCTATTGACTGTGGAGCTAGTTTACTCAGGCTACAATTAGAAGGCAACAGACCTATTTCTCAGAAAGCATTTAAAATCAGGGTCATGAATAAATCTTTGCTTTAGTTAGTACCGGCCTCTATGTCACTCCTCCATCTGTGCTTCATCATCCCACTGCTTCTGTAGAAATAGCCCCCCTCAGCATCCTCCTTATTTTGTCTGATTCCCTATAGCGGAAGGGAGGCTTTGTTCTACTTCAAGATGTTTCAGCAAAAATCTTTGTTTGATGTATTTATGGAGCTCGCACTGACTAGAATGTATCATTTACAGAAGTAAAATGAAAACGGACAACGGTTTAGATGTGTTGTCATTGAATGTGTTATATTACATCAGAGTAGCACAGGGAGATTGTCATCCAGAATCCCAGTGTCCTTTTACTAAATCCCTACTCCGACCAAAGTCTGAGCTTTGAGGCATTAAAAAGCTAACTTTTTAATTTGGAGGGTAATATGAAACGAGTAGTTTCAAAGTTAGCTGCACCAACAAAGAGAGGCAAGACTTGCTGTTGACAGGAAGTTCAATAAGACAACAGTAGCAGTGCAGCAGTGGGTTAATGATGTGGCATGACAGAGTTGCCCTCTTTCATTGTTCATATTTCTCATTTCATTGTCTTTGTTTCTTCTTTTTGTTCTGTTGTTTTTCTCATCATGATTTTCCATCTGTTCTGTATTCCATTGGACTTCTCAGGGTATTCTTTCACAAGTAAGTTTCATTTCTCCCTGTCTCCATCTTCACTGCATTTATTTGTTTTACTTTGATTATTCTCTCTATATTAGAACATTGTGTTTAAAAGAAACGTGCTACACTAATGTCAATGTAACAATGTTCTTGATCATATCATGTCTTCTGTGGAAATGGAACCAGAAATCATCACCCAAAACCCTGAACATTTAATTGATACATATCAGTACTCATTTCATTGCCTGTTGTACGAATTCTCCAGACAGCAATCTATTATTCTAATGTGGTTTCAGGTTTGTTTAGCAGTGTGATCGATTGATATGACAGTCTTACAGCCTTTAGCAAGCAAGTTATTTTTACCGTAGTGATTATTTTTCTTTTGGTATCTCTCTAGTATAAAGTATATTGCACTTGTGCAATGCAGCAGTTCAGCCAGTGAGTATTATATCAGGCCTTTAAAAAAGGTATACTGTGTTCAGGGCCATAAATCAGGACTGTATTTGTATAATTATATGGTAATTAATGTGGAATTAGAATATTTAATGGTAATAATGTTAAAAGCTTGGCATATTTGCACATAAATGGCCCTGTATGGAAACATAAGGTTTAAATATTCAGGCCTTCAATTCCCATACATCCTTTTATGATTCCCATTTGTACTCACAGTGTGCTTTTATTTTGGTATTGAAATTTGGCCATTGATGACAGTTGTCTCTCAGAGGTCACAAGAAAGCATATCGAGAGAGATTTTAAATAGCTTACCTTCCTCTGTTGAGGTGCAGGTTGGGAAGAGCATATGGTTACTGCTGCTAAGGAAAAAGGTTTTATACATTGCTTTTAAATCCCCAGTTCCTGGTTGTGTTTGTTTTCTGCTTCACAACTGTGGCCAACGCATAGCAGTCCATATGGTATGGATTTAAACCTTCAATGTGTACATTAAAACTAGTATTCAAGTTTAGAGTAATATCCTGGTTTTTATCATATTTGGAATATGACCATCTTGAATATCCAGATTTGTTTTGTAAAAAAACAACTGGGATACTAGTGTGTATAAACACACTGATTCAAGATATCCTTGAAATGGCACGGGTTGCATCTTTTTTGTTGCTGTAGAGCATTTGGTTTTGGACTAGTGAGTTATATATGTGCATAAAACATTACCTTTGGCAATATCTGGATTTAAGTAGAATAATAGTGTGTGTGTGTGTGTGTGTGTGTGTGTGTGTGTGTTTGTCTGTATTGCTTGTAGGTGTGGTAAGCTTCAGAAGAGTGTAGGCTAGCCTAGTCAGAAATCTGACAACTTGAAGTAATTGCTAGTTGTTGCTGTAAACGAAACCATGGGTACCAAAACAAAAGGCAGTTGGCATAGGTATGAAAGGAAAGGAAGCTGACACTGTACACTCACTGCTGAACAAATAAAAATGCAGAATCGGTTGCTCGACAAGCATTTCACAGAAGTCTTACAAGAGCTGCAAAATAGTTGAAAGAATGCAGTCATTGTTTTTGCTTATCTTTGTTTCCATGAGAAGTTTCTTTTATGCTCACAGGCATTTATAAGGAAACCTATTCAGGTTTTAACTTTAAATTGTACTTTTAGGGAAACTTGACATCAGCAGTTCTCCCACTCCTAACTATTAAGAACTAGTGGGCAGCAACAGTCCAGCATCCAGGCCCCAATTCCGGTTCCAAGGCCAGTGCCTTGGTCCAAGGCCAGGCAGTGGTTCTCTACATCTCAAACACTGACTTCCATGTAGCTGTTTAAACATAAGATATAGAACTCTAATATTTGTTGATGCCAATTTGGTGAAGTCAGTGTTTTTTTTTTATTGGAGTATTTTAAGGTATATACATCTCCTCTTGAAAGGTTTGGACTCCCAAGAACTTTGCACTTGGCATACTCTCTATTGAGAAATGCCTTATGTTTATGGACGTTTCCATTTCACAGGATGTAATAGAAAAAGCTATAAGATGTCTGTGTTGTTGCCTCACAGTGGTTAGCACAGTGGAGGTGCTTACTGATGCTGAAAAACAAGAAGAGTCATTGTTCCACAGGATTGTTCAAGATGAGTTCCTTATCACCAAGCCAGTGTAAAAACAAACCTGACCCAGCACTGAGTTGCTTTTGTTGAGGAGAACTCCAGCTCCTCTCACCATGTTTTCACCATCTTTCAGTTTCATCAGAGACACCACCCCCTATCGCTGCCACCACTATGGCCCTTAGTGAGTATGCCAGTCGCACAGTGTGCAGTGTGTCTCTCTTCACCTCTTACCTGCTTGGCTTCACAGTTAGTGTACAGTAGTTTTTCATTTATTTATTTCTGGTGTGGCTCACTGGAAAACTCGTAGCCACAGCAAAAAGAGCTTGGCAACTTATTACCTTTGCTAACGGTCTTGAATTCTCATAGATGATGATTTTACTAACATTTGTCAAGGACATAAAGGTCGCCATTCTAACCACCTGACTAGTGTTGTGTATGACATAATTAACATAATGTGTCTGTCCATTTATAATTAAAACATACTAAAGACTAGGTTATGCTAAGTTTGTTGTAATCTGTTAATCTGTGAAAATGCAAAGACCCTGGTAGATCAGAGGCTACAGAACACAATCCTGACAGCCTATTATTAGAAATACAGTAGTAGGTATCATGCTAAGATTTGAATGGTTGATAGTTGTAGTATCACACATCTGGCATAAACATTTAGTGATTGTAGGCTCCATGCTAACACCTTATGTTGTGTTTGTGTTTTCTGACTTGATAATGTTAACTGGTTTATTCAACTGAAAACTCCAACCAGTGGTAGAGAAAGCCATCATTCGGCGCCACTGAACATGAATTTTATCATGGACAAAACATAGCTAAACAGAAAATATTTATTGTGCATGTTGCACTACATATTGGTAACAGTCGCCATCTTGGATTCTGCAATAGCAGGAGTCCTTATAGTCATAACTGATGGGTTAGGAAATGGCTATTCCCTTCTTTTTTTTGGGGGGGGGCGGTTCATTTAAATGTATTGATTTATCTGTAAGCCATTCTGACAGTCTAGCTTGATCATGACTGTACAAAAAGGGTTCGGGTTAGAGGTACCCCTCTACAAAAATGCTTTCTCCTCTACTTCCTACTTACTGAACCCATTTTTACCTCTCCGCCATCTACATATTGTTGCTCTTATCTAAACCACTCTGTCACTGTTGACTTTGAATTTTCTTGAGCGCCCCTCAATGTTTCTCATCATTGTTTACATTCAGCTCAGGCACAGTATCAGATCCACTGACATTCACTGCAGAACAGTTCACGCTAGTCTTGAGGATATGGCCTGTCTATGCAGACAGTAATGTAACAGAGATTCTTCACACAACCAGGAAATACCCTGAGCCAGGAATGCTTTGTCTGTTTAGAAATCCTACACAGCCACTCAGGTAACCGAGAGGTGACGCTGATCACCAGCACTGGCAAGCCCCTGCTGATATCTGATCATTAATTTGTGCAAAGAGCCAGTACAATTATAACTGACTGCACCTTTAAGCAACTAACCTACTGTATGTGACTGCTTTAATTTGAGGTTTGCACACATTAAAGCAACATTTGAGGTAACAGCGTGCACTGTGTGAACAAACATGATGATGTGTTTGGTGCGAGGTCACTGGAGTAATTGTTGTATGTCTATCCCTGCTCCTTTTAATTGAAATCCTGATGTACTGTTTTGTGTGTCCTTAAAATGTTCCTAACTAAATCTCTCCCTTTAAACACATTTAATAACATTTGTCAGATGCAGCCTTGGATTTACTTTAGTTTCATCTAGGATGTAGCTGTTCATATATATGCTCCAGCAACTACTCTGTTTTCTGCCTCTCTCAATGTCACAAATGCTCTTAGACTGTTGTCCGATGCAGACCTTATTTCTCCTGATGTTTCATGTGTTCACACTGTCGTCTGCTGTGTTGTGCATCATGTTTAGTTGGCATGGTTTGTATTCTCAGAACTGCAGAGTTTCCTCTGCTCTTCATTTGACCCTGATTTCTTGTTTGTACACAAACTGCTGTGTTCTTCCTATCTTTAATTTGTCTTTAATGTCATAGTTCAAATTCAGATTGGGCATTAATGTTGTAAAATATAAGAATTAAAGAAAATCCGTCAGAGGAAAAGCTGTTGATTATCTGGATGCATGAGGCAAGTCTGGCTGTGCAGTTTTGGTTGTATCTTAAATTAATATCCGAAATTCAGCATCCGTTTCTTTATTTCTTCATTTATTTATTTATGGATATTTTGCATGTTTCCAAAGACCAAAACTATAAGTCTGCAACTGCCTCATATATTCAGCAACATGTTTTTTTATATGTATTCAAAAAATCTGTTTATGTATTTATGTATTTCTCTTGGTTGTTTGTGTTCCTTTTGTGTCATTTTGTCTTTAACATTTTTGTTCATTTGTTTATTCATCATTTCAAAAATGTTTGTTTCCCATGTGCCCCCCCCCTCCCCCTACATTTTCCTTTCAACCAATCATGTGCGTGCACATCATGTGACTTTGTCATATGGCTCTTGCATGGTGCTGATGATGTCGTCTTCGCTGGCCAACAGAAGGTAATTTTTTTTTTTTTTTGTCTAGTTTGAGATCATAAGATCCACAGTGATCCTTCAGTAGGCATTTGTTAAATTAGAGTCATAGGCGAGACATTAAAACGCTTCCAGTTTTATTTGGCCATTTTTCATCCATCTTTAAGCCATTCTGTAAATATGTAGTAAATATTTAGTAAACATGCACAATTTCACTTAAACAGCATGTCATCTCCATTCATCTTAAGACTTTCTCTTCCTTCTAGCCAACTATGATCATTTTATCAATTTTACATTGCAGTCATAAAATAACAATGCAAAACTATTCTCCTCGTAGTGCCTTGTTAAATATGAATTCTATATAGACAATCTAATAAGAATATAAGAAATACACACCAGGAATACATTATTTTTACGGGGCTGAGCTGAGCTACCTTGATGTGACTGTTAAAGGTTATATATACAGAATTCACTGCTACTAAATGTTGCACTAGAGCACCAGCATCATGACTCCATTGACAACACTGGTAATGTAATTTTACCTAGCACATAACCGTAAAACACACTGGAAAGAAATGAAACTGAACTTTCCACATTCCAACAATTACCAACGCTGGTTTGGTCAAAACTCTAAATTCACCAAGTCAGAAGAGATAATGTTCTCGAAACAGGCGGCAATGTAGCTAATCGTTGGGGATAAAGTATGTCCACTAAAGGGGCTTGTTTTTGCCATTAACTGGCTCAGAGTGTCTCACAACATTATGGAAAGGATCCTTTTCTTTAACCAGAAACAGCCGTCACAATCGTACTCAACAGACAAAAACTGTACTTTTACCCTGCTTATCACTCTAAAATCGTAACACGCACAAAATAAAACACACCAAAACAGTTCCAACAATCACCAACTCTGGTTTGGTTGAAATAAATCCTTAATTCACCGACGTAAATAAGAAAAATACACGCGGCCAGAGCAGCTATATAACCTTGAATTCCTTGCCTCTATGTGTTCTGCTTACATTTACACAATATATTAATATTATACAGATAGCATGTTAATATCCGGTGGAAATGGGGTCCTTGGTTTGAATTCCTCTGAGCTAGCTAAGATATCTTTGAAGCTTTTATTTATAACATGTCCTTTAACTCCTTTCAATAGTTCATAGCAACATATCCCTGTTAATTTTATTTGTTTAAATTGAAATGATGCAACATATGCTACAGATCTAATTGTAATTGGGCTCACACATTTCATTTCATGTTTTTTTTCAAAACCCACTTTGCATTTTACATTTGTTCTCAGAGTAGTAATAGTAGTTAAATTTTATTCCAAAAACACTTTAAATGTATGATTCCCTGGTGTGCTCTTTTCCCTGTCTTGATCAGAAATAAAATCTAAATTATTCCAAGCTTCCAGGTTGCATTCAAATCTTTAAAAAAGTAAAACCAGTAGATCTTTTTTTCATGAAAACCTTTTTGTTATGTACCACTGTTCTGAACTGCATTCAAACATCACAGGAGCACCTTCACAAAGTGCCACTGATTGCAATCTGCATCGTTTATTTTTCCCCAGATTAGCTACTGTAGCTCACAGCTTTCTGTTTAAAGCTGCAGATGTTGACTGCGTTAGTAGTGCGCTGGCCAGGTATCGCGGGAAAAAGCGGGCTCTTGTGCCGTGCTATAATTCTTTGTCGTGCGTCATCGGTGGGTTGGGCTTATCACCCAGTGTGGGCGAGCAAGGTGAGCTAGAGAACGGCGCGAGAGAGGGGATAACGCCGTGCCAGGAGTTTTATCACCTGGACATCGCGCGTCATCAAGCTACATCAGGTTACGGTCACACGAAGTGACCCGTCACAATAATAGTCCTGTTATCCACTTCAAATGAACAAGTTCATGTTTAGGTCTCCTTTGACCCTACACAGTGTTGCACTGATTGGATTCACAGCAGCCCGTTGCATTACTGCAGCATGCAAGTTTATTTCCTGTTTCTTGTTGCATCCTTCTTCTTCTCGCTCTGCTGTTTCCCAAAGAAAATGTCGGTCTTGTTTGCATGTGTGTGTGTCTTTGTTGTCACGTCCTCTTGGTACTCGCATTTCTACATAAAGCACTGAAATAAAAAAAAAGATCTGTTTAATTTACTACATGCAACAGTACTAATAAATGTTCCACAATTTAAAGTTATGAGAGAGGATTCGGTGACCAATATACAGTTTTTTACTTGTAATTACTTTTATACTACATTTACAGTATCATGTATGATAAATGAAATTGATCTTATTTAAAGATTTAAGGTTGGACAGTGTGATGTGATTTATAACGGCTAATTCATATTAATACACAAATAGTACTGTTACATTATATTAAGCATTAACTGACGCCACAAAACTAAAATGAAGAATTTCTGTATTAGACAGCATGTTTTCAATAACTCTTGTTCAATTCTATCCACTTATCTCTCAATGTACGCTGGAAGATGAGGGAGGATGCAGTATTAGGTCGGGCTACATGTGGACCCACGCCCTACTGCATGTGTGTCAGTGTGAGGTTATGGGCAGTGTTCCACATGTTTCCCCATCCAAATGCGTAGCAGCACCCAAAATTTCCAGCCTGCATGGGGAAGCTTCTCATTCTAACCACCGCCTCTCTCTGTTTTTTAGCCTCAGAAAACATGACCTAACCCAGAATGATGCTTGTGAATAACAATGGTGAATGTACCGATGTCTACCTGCCACCTAACACTGTCTGATTCACTTCCAGCATCTGTCATGCTCACTTCAGTGTATCCAGTTTTTAGGCAGTGTGCTCAGATGATTACATAGGATCAAGAAAGAGTGCCTTCATGCATATTCATTTAATTAACCACTAACGCTGATGTTTAAAATGCTAAATATTGAGTCTGGAAACAGGAATGCTGACATTTTTGTGTCCATTTGAAATGTATGCCAATGGTTTTTTTTTTTTCCTTTCCTGCACAATGACTTGCCAAGTAAGGCATATATTCAAATCTGCATCATGTCTTAGATCATGTAAGATATAATGTGAGTGTTTTCTGTTATCACAATGTTAGCACAGGGCAAAGACTGTAACATCATGAGATAGCCAGTTTGATAACATAATAACATGGCTAACTGTGTGTAACCACTATGTACATAATTAATGAGTTTGGGCTGTTAGTCTCCTCCCTTACAGCACTTACAGTGGCATTAGAGTGAAAGCCAGCATCACTACACATGCACACAAAACACCTCGTTCCCTCCTATAAGACTATGTATATATTATCAAAAGTAATAGACTAACATGTCCAATCAAGGCCTAAAGGCTCATTATCCAGCAATCCAGGAGTCATTACTCTAGGGGGACGAAGCAGATAATGAGGAGGCTCAAGGAGAACACCTCAACCACTGGCTCGGAGGCAGCCACACTGCCCTCTGTTCCTTCAGGCTTCCCCCAAAGGGATATTCCACTCAAGATTATATATAGATATATACATTCTCCCTGTAAGCTTGAAAAGAGAGTTTACTTTGGTGCCAACAATTCATCCACTCAACAAAATACACCATAATTTCCTTTAACTGTCCAGTGTGTAACATTTACGAGGATCTATTGACAGAAATGGAATATAATATTCATATTCGTATTTCTTTGTATAATCACTTGGAAGTAACTGAAAAACTTGAAAGGCTCTATCTGGAGCCAGTGTTTGGTTCGTCTGTTCCTGGGCTACCGTAGAAACATGGTGGTTCAACATGGTGGGTTCCATTCCAATGTAAACAGAATTATGAATATTACATTCCATTTCTGACAATCGATCCTTCTAAATGTTACATATGTAAGGGATAATTATTGTGTTTAGTGATTATCCCGTTTATTCTACTTCTTACTTGCCAACATAATAAACAATTCAAATACTTTAATAATTATGCTTTTCTATTCGTATTTGCATGCATTATTAAATGTATACTCTGAGTTCAAGCTCCCTCAAAAAGTAGGTCCCCTTTAGAACTACGGTGAATAACGTTAGGCTCAGCTTGTAACCTAATTCGTTTTCTATAGCAACCACACACGGCTGCACTCTGGATCACTAGTTTCAATCACGTTATCTCGGAAACGGGGTACCTGGCCTTGTCTTTTGCTGTCATTCCGTCGTCCTCGTCGCTCTTTCTAACCAGTCCTCAAATGTCTTTCCCTACTCCCAAATATGTTTAAACATTGCACAATGGAAATCGTCCCATTTTTTTCAAACGGCTGAAATGTTAGAATACGGTGAATAACGTTAGCTGCAGGCTGTAGTAAATTCGTTTCACTATAGCAACCACACAAGCTGGCCATCTGGATCACTAAAGTTTTAATAACGTAGTTATCTACATTGCTATCTCGCTGCGAACTATGTATCGAACTGACCCTTCCGATAGATTTCCGGACACATTTTAGAAACTTTTTTTAAATAAGGTGTTTTTTACAATGGGACCTCATGTTTGAAAATTTATGTGAGTAGAAAAAAAAATACAAGCGCGTATTGACTTACTATTTGATGGGACCGCTGTGCTCAGTCAGCGGGCAATATGGCCGGGGTAATGCCCCTCTCCCAGCCAATCAGGAATCAAGCATTCTTAAACGAAGTAGAATAATGGTCCTTTAATGTGTATTGCTTTTTTTTTTAACTAAGCTTTTAAGAGATTGACACCATAATCATTGATTTGTCACCGGTAGAACAAGCTCCAAGCTAATCCGTTAGCATACGCTGTGTAATTGTTACTTATTATATTTTAAGTCCTCCCATCAAGAAAGCTTAATATATTTTAAAAATAATACCATAAACTAACCCTAACTCTAACCCTGTCCAAGTGTAGAGCTGTTTGGAACTTCTGTGTAGATGTTAGATCACGGAGAAAAGCTTTTAATTTCATATAGAGAGTGTGTGGGTGTGACAAAGCTCGTCAGGAGTTGCCCATCATTACATTTAATTTGACAATTCTTTTACATAAACTGTTCAGATGTGGCTGCATTTCTTTTAAGATAGTTAACCATTTGGCTGTGTCGCTGCCAAATTATATTGCTTTTGACATGATGTTAGTGGCTTGCGAGCACTGGACCCAATCATCTGCAGGGATTTGATTTTAAGATGGAATTGTCATTGTTCTCATCACTGCTTAACAGCTTAGTAGAGCAACGTAACAGCACAAAACTCACTTTAGGCCAACAAAGCATGAAAGACTTAATCACACTGTGATTATTACCTCCACATCTGCAGAGTCCTCTGATTGCAATGCTTGTTACAGTCTTAAAAAGAAAGAAAAGCATCTTAAAAGAGTGTAGGTTAAACTGGCAATCAACTAAAGTTTAGCTTAGCTGACCTTGAAGACAAAAGCACACACAGTAGAAAGGTTAGAGGAAGAGGCTACGGTTGCTGTTGACGTAGCAATCATATTTATGTCAACTAATCATAATTCATTGTTTTCTTTGTAGGGGAACCCAGTGCCCCCAAACTAGAAGTCAAGTTCCAAAACAAGGGCAGTAGTCTTAAGGTCAACTGGATCGAGCAGGACGATGGCGGTTCCCCCATTAAACATTACCTGGTCAGATACAAGGCTGTGAGTATACTGAGCAAGGAGGTAACTTGGTACCACTTTGCTGTTTTGCTTATTTCCAATTCTTGCAATCGTTTCATACAAATTAGTAAAGAAAAGAGCTTGTAAATGTTCACTAAACCAACTGGAAGCAGGAATACAGTACATTAAGGCACCCTTCCATGGAAGTCAACCTTTGTACTCCTACAATTTGTTCTACAAGTGCCCAAATGTTACCTTGAAACAACAGTATAATCATTTATAGTGTATAGTAAATTAACAGTTTTTATTTGGGGAAGTTGTCAGCAGAAAGCAACACGTTCTCACTCCCAACCTGTTACAATACTGGCACTTAGTTGGTGGCCCTCTGCTTCAAAATGTGATACTGAAGGTACCCCTCACATTCCTGGATGCACAGGGCTCCACGGTAAAGTTAGCAAGTTAGGTCAAAGTTCAGTTTGTTTGAGCCAAGTTGATCCATCCACCCCACCATCTCCAAATGCGCACTATTTTGCTCTTTATACTGCGTCACCTGACTTAGATGGCAGGCGTGCCCAGAAATTATACTAGAGGGGCCACTGACCAAGCTGCAGTATTTGGGAGTAAGACCAGATTGGTAAAGGACAGTCGACAGGACGATTCAAAAAGCCATGATCCCTCACTGGTTTCCCACCGCTGAATGTTGACAACTTTGCTCAATTGAACACCAAGGACCACTGCCAGGTTTTGAGACAAAGAGAAAAATTGGGGGGGGGGGCATATTTTCCCCTGTGACGTGTGCAACTTTAACTGTCTTTAGTAACTGTGACAAATATACTTTCATCAATAACATGTACACCTTTGTTCTTGTATGAAAGTAATCTCTCTTGTTATGTCTCGACAAATATTGCATACATCATGTGAGTAACAGCTCCGGAGTTGTTGAAGGGTTTCTTTGTGTTTAATCCAAAGAGATAAAACAGATCATGAACTTCTTGTCTAACTCTTAGTCAGTAAATACACTTTCTCAAAATGTTGAAGACTGCTTTTTACGCATTCCTTTTCATCTTGTGCTAAAAAGGTGCTACAGGTTCCTTTGGGGCTTTAGCTTTGTACTTTGTGAAGTTATTAAAGAACAATGCACTCCTTTTATCTTCGACACAATGAATCACTGTGCCTGTACAGAATGACCACAGTCTCATTTGGTTACCCAGTTTTGAGTTGTGTCCCCTCTACATTCCTTTCTCAGAAGCATGTATCTGACTGGAAACCAGAGATCCGCCTCCCCCATGGCAGTGAGTATGTGGTGCTGAGCGGCCTGGAGTGGAATACAGAGTATGAGGTTCACGTGGTGGCGGAGAATCAGCAGGGCAAGTCAGAGCCTGGCATCCTCTCCTTCAGAACAGCTATAGAGCCCACTACCATCCCAGGTACTATTCCCATCATTTCATCCTGAGCATCCACAGACACACACAGTGCACAAAGGCTTCCACCGTGACCAGAAAGGCTCAATCACTTGGATCCTTGACTATTATGGTGGCTATTCAAAGCTTGCTGGCTGTAGGGTCTGACATAAATCAACTGGCCCTGTCGGCTGTGTTGGGGAGATGTATTGTTTTTTTTCACTGTGGCCTATATTCAGTAGGTTTGAAATGACAAGAGACAGCCCTGTCTCACAAAACTGTGTGAAATGAGCACAAACAAAAAGCATACAGTGTGTTGAAGTCATGAATATCAGAAAAGTATATTTCTCCAAGCTGAAAGGATTGCATTACAGCCATATACATTCGACGAGACATGATCCTCACATGAAAAAGCTTTCATTTAGAAAAGTAAATCCTTATTTACAATTACAGGATTTTCACTACAGCATATTATATGTTGTTTGTAGACTAAACCATTTATAAATGAAGACTGAACATTAAAACCTGGATCAGAATCAGCTCTATGGGCTGAGTAAGTTTAAGAATGTGGGGATTCAAATCCTTGGGTTTCTGTAGCTACTTCTACTCTTTACCAACTAGTCTGCTCTAAATGCAGGGATTGAGTGTAGGGGGGAGGAGCACGCTAGTAACTGCAGTTGCCAAGTTACAGCTGCCCGGAAGAAAAATAAGCAGCACCTGTCTTTTGGCCACGATGAGATGATGACAGAGCAAAACCCAGAACAAGAGGCAGCCTTCAGTGAAAATCCCTGGCCACATCTGGCCACACTTTTTAATACCAAAATCTAAAAAAGAAACAACAGTTACATGACAAAGGGCTTGCTGTGCCTCCCGAAAAACATCGCCAAAAACATCCTGAAACTAACCCCCGCAAGCACACACTGTAGGTGAAAATGTAGTTAAACTTTTTATCAAATGGTAATTTTCAGTGTTTCTTGAGACATTTTTTATGTGAGTAATTGTACTTTTACTTAAAGTAAAGATTCTCAGTACTCCCCCACCATTGCTGAAAAGTCAAACTTTCATGTCAGTAAAAATAGAGAAGTTGTGACTTGAAGCTGGGTCATTGGAAGTTTATTTTCCTTTCAGCTCTGGCTTCTACTCTTTCTTTCCAGCTACGTCTTCTCCACCTAATCCTTTCCTTTTCGAGACGTATATTTTTGGTTGGTTTTTTTTCATGCATGGAGCTCCTTATTTGCACTTTAAAACATTGTGCTCACTTCACAAAATTTCCGAGGCCAGGCTGCACAAGATCAACAATAACTATTGAATCCATATGAAGAGCAGAGGCGTATTCACTCTGTTTTTTTTCTTTTCCTTGATGCTCTGCTGCTACAGATAAAACTCAGCATCATGGCACTCTGCTCTCCTGGTCTTCAGTCGCTCCTATAAGGCAGCTGTTACTGCTCAAGTTCAGTGAGCAATAAAGTCGGAGCAGATATCAGTCAGACCCAGAGCATTTTGTCCAGTTTACAGCAAATATTTTTCTACCCAGGTGGTCACGGTCGGCCTTTTGCTCTGTTGTTGTGTTGTGTGTGAGGTGCACATTTTAACTTGGGCTGCTTCCCCATTGCACTATACCTGAGCTATAAAACAGGTGACACTTCTTTCTCATCAAACTATCTTTTTATCTCCTATTGAAAAAGAACTCTGTCAGGTTTTCTTTCTCTCTGCATCATCATTTTCTCCATCCTCAGCTTCAGGGTTGTCTTGCCAGTCCATTTCCCTCACAAAAGGGATCTCGATTGTTAAATACGTTCCCTTTCAACTGTCAAGTGAATGTCAAGGAATATGACAAAAAATTACACCAAAATTACAAACTAAATTCTAAGCAAAATTGGTCTCTCGCAGGTCATACAATGAGAAGAAATTAGAGTAAAATGAATCTTTACTGATGTAGCATTGGGAATGCATAATGTTTATCATTATCCTATGTTTTCTAAGCTAAGTAATGCCCGTAATATTCTAGACACAAAATATATATATATATATGTATATTGTGTTTTCAGTGTACCAACTTAAAGAGCATGGTGAAACAGTGACGGATACTTTAGTATGTTAGAAAAATAACATTCCTGGAGGTGGTGGAAACGTTTCAGAATGGCTCGTACTTGCTTACAATTAGTTTAACTAATGTGTTTCCAACACATGGGTGCATTTGTGGAAGAAAACAACAAAATAAGCTACAATTAGAGTTAAGTGAAAGCAAGACAGAAAATCTGGTAAAAACTTCAATATTCAAGATATATTCAATATTCTAATGATGCCCCTAAATCCCCAAACTGATCCATAGCTGAAAATGATCCACAGCAGATGCTGTATTTACTCCTGTTTGAATAATACTTGCTAAACACTACTGTGCCCAGGTGTTTTGGAAAATCTATGAACCCTTTTTTTTTTTTTAAATGAAACTATATATTTGTGAGCTGTTTTTAACAGTCCAGTGTGTAACATTTAGGAGGCTCTTTACCTCTAGATGCCACTTTACTTTAAAGATTTACATCTTCAATAAAAGGCTACAGATAGGGAAGGAAGAACAGAAAGTTTAGAGCCAAAATAACACATTTTAGTTTTGTTTTTGTTGACAATAAGAAAATATAAAATAACACCAGCTGTAGCCTTTACACAGTGGAAAGGTTGCAAAAAGTTTTTTTTCCCCTCTCCCAATTAGTAGGACGTGATCCTGTGATGAACATGCAAGGGAAAAAAAACTTGAAATACATTCCCATCTTTTTTTCAACATCCTCACTTCTTTTTATTCCCCCTCTCTCTCTCTCTCTCTCTCTCTCTCTCTCTCCTTTCCTGTGTCTCTCTCCCTCGCATGCCACAGATGTTTTTCTTAGTCGCTCCAACAGACAGGAATCTACTGGCAAGAAGAAAGGCTCGGTCTTCCCCAGGAGAGAGGAGTACAAAGCCCCCAGTCTGCATACAGCAGATGCAGAAAGCCAGTCCATCTGCCACCAGCTCGTTCTGCCACATGGGCCTGAGAGATTTAATACAAGAGGGGACTTTTTCCCTCTCTTTTTTTTTTTTTTTTTTACATGTACGTACATAAGTTTATGCCATATACATAGAATCAAATGTAAACACACATATAAATCTGATGCAACTCCAAAATTAAATTCATAGTTATACACTAACCAACACACGTGTGCAGGCACACAGGCAGCCACAGCATGAGGTTATAGAGAGTGCAAGAACTTTTATGTTTTCAAGAGAGGCAC